CCCCAAAACCCCAAAACCCCAAAACCCCGTTGATATAAGATTATATAAAATTGGAAAATAAGGAATTAATAATTATCTTGGCAAAATGAATATAGATGATAACATAGTCGTCGAATTAAACTAAAATAGAAAATTAGACTAGAGCTGGCATGATTACTAAGATCAAAATATTGTAACTGACTAGCAGCCTCCAGTCAATCAAACACCAACTTTCTAAAAAATTCTTGACATAAGAAGATCAAGTAATATGACGAAAAGCAGTGTGATAGTATAAGATCAGTCGAATAACTTATAAAATTTTTACAAGGCAGAGAAGGAGGATGATATGGGTTAATAATAGCAAGTTAGTGGTGGATTTGGTGACTCCCAGGAACTTGATGAGGAAACCATTTAGTAAATGCTCAAACAATAACAACAGTAAGTATTTATAAAACTATGGCCATGTATTTTACAACAAATTATTGGTCGAGGAGTTAATATTTCTATATTATTTCGAAGTTACCTGCCTCTTTCTAATGTGATGCTGTTCAAATACTTTTTTAATTAGAAAAATTCTTGCTTATTAATCACTAACATATAGATAAAAGCAATTGAGCTCTGAAAAAAGTCATAAGAATAAATGGGAAGACGACACAATTACAGAGGACTATCAAATGGAGAGCACCACATTCTAGTTCGAGGAGATAAGGAAAAATGAAAGTTTTGGCATAAAAAAGTATGCTGATGCGATATATAGAGGAGAAATCGTGAATGGCAAAAGAAGCGGTAGAGGAATCATGCTTTACAAGAAAAATAGAGTATATGAAGGAGAATGGGTGAATGATGTAAGATAAGGCAAGGGATATGAGAGATATTAAAATAGTAATAAGTATGAAGGTGACTTCTTCAACGGAAAAGCACATGGCAAGGGTGTATATTCTTGGGCTAATGGAGAGATTTACGACGGAGAGTGGAAAATTGGAGTAAAGGATGGCTATGGAATCTGGAAGGGTGTCTTTGGTGACTCCTACATTGGAGAGTGGAAGAACTCAAAAGCTGATGGCTATGGAGTGCATCAATGGAAGAATGGCGATAGATACGAAGGAGAGTGGCAAACTTGCTTGAAACATGGTTAAGGAACTGATATATTTGCAAATGGGGATTCTTATACTGGTCAGTATACCTAAGGAAAGCCAGATGGTCAAGGCTAATACAAATGGAAAAATGGGAGCGTGTATATTGGCGAATTCAAAGATGGGCTAAAACATGGAAGAGGTAAATGGCGCAAATTGCAAAACGTTCAAAATTGTAACAGCTATGATGGGGAGTATTAATACGACAAAAAGAATGGCTATGGTGTATTTACTTGGGAGAGTGGTAATGTTTACAAGGGAAACTACAAAGATGATGAGAGAGATGGGTACGGTGAGATGTTTTGGATCGATGGCTCTTACTACTAAGGTGAATGGCGTAGAGGAATTCAACATGGACAAGGCAAGATGACTTTCCCAGATGGCAGTATAAAGGAGGGATTATTTGAGAACAATGTCTATCAGCAACAACTCTAAGTTCAAACTATTCAATCTCCAATTATAATAGCTCCTAAACAATAATAAATTTCAGATGAAGTATCTTTGATTGTAGATGAAAAAGCGACTTTGAGTCCGAATGGCAGTGTAATTGAATCAAAAAGTGTCACTTCTAGGTCTTCTAATATAAATATAAGAGCTATTAGCAGAGGAAAGAATGCCTCAATCATAAGGCAGATTACTGGCACATCAAACTTGTCATTTCAAACCAATTTCAAAAAAGCTCCTGATTTTTTGAATCCAGTTTAGCCACCTATTAAGAAGGAATAATTAAATACATCTAACGAATATGATTATGGTTATGGAGGATATAGCTCCCCAGGTCAAGACTCAGATTCAACTAGAGTGTCTAATATTCTGTATAGTAAAATGTCTGTCTAGAAACCCTACACAAACAGAGATCAAGTCAATCTTAGTATGATGTAGAAACCAGGCAACATTAAAATGGCTTTGATAAATCAGCAGGCCCTCAATAATTCCTCAAATCAAGGTTACCATAGTAACAATGAACAGGCTAGTTTTCTGCCTGAAATCAAGAGAGTTTTTAGCAAAAGCTCGTAGAGAACTTAAGTAACCTAATTATCTGATCAAAGAAGAGCTTCGCCTGAGGCTATTGCTCTCATGATGAACAATCTCAAAAACAATAAATAAAATAAACACTGGGTTCCTGGTGGAACAAACGGGAACAAAGAAGACTTAAGTAAAATAAAAAAGATCGTGTTCTGATACATCATTAGATGCAACCACTATCTATGCAGTAGTAGTATGTATATCATAATCATTAATAATCTTATCCTATATATAAAATAAATAGAATAATTTATATTTCAAATAAGAACACATTCCGATTGAATCAAATCTGCTTAGTGGGGTTTTGGGGTTTTGGGGTTTTGGGG